ATCAATACTCACGAGGTCTTGTGCAGCAGATTTCACTAAAGTAACTTGTCTTTTTCCCTTTTGACTGCTGCTTACATCAGCATTGATTGTGGATCCAAGCAAGATGGAATCCTTGACAATTTTGATATTTTCTCCATTTAGAATTATATTAATTATCTATTTATCAAGAATTGTACCCTTCTGTATGGATTACAATTCAATGTAAGGAATATCAAAATCCTCACAACTGGCCCAATAGAAAACATCATGATAAATGAATAAAAAGTTGAAGTTGTTAGCAATTTTGTCTTATTTGGATCTACAACCAATTCTTATGGAAGCAGTAGTCAAAGAGATCAAAAGACATATTGCATTTGGGTAAATCTGTTGTGCAAGACCTCTTATAGACTGTTGAAGAGCCAGGATGTTTCTCTGAGGATGAAGGTGCACCTGATTCAAGTCATGATATTCTCCATTGCATCACATGCATGTGAAAGTTGGACATTGAATAAGGAAGATGGTGGAAGAATATATGCATTTAAGTTGTGGTGCTAAAGAAGAATACTGAAAGCACAGTGTACTTCTAAAAGGACAAACGATCTGAATTAGATAAAGGAAGGCCAGAGTGCTCCTTAGAGACAAGGATGACAAGACTTCATCTTACATACGTTGGACATGTTGTCAGGAGAGACCAGTCCCCGAAGAAGGCCATGTTTGGTAAAGTGGAGGGGTGGCAAAAAGAGGAAGGGCCCCAAGGAGCTGGATGGGCACAGTGGCTGCATCCATGGGCTCAAGCAGAGGAACAACTGTGAGGATGGCGCAGGACTGTGCGGTGTTTTGTTCTGTTGTGCTAGGGTCTCTATGGGACAGAGCCACCTCATTGAACCTAAGAACAACAACCTTTACCTATTGGTCCAGTTGTGAGGATCTTGGTCTTCTTCACATTGAGTCGTAATCCACACTGAAGGCTGCGCTCCTTGGTCTTTATCAGCGAGTGCTTCAAGGGCTCCTCATGTTCAGCAAGCAAGGTTGTGTCGTTTGCACACCTAAGCCTTCCTCCGATCCTGATGCCACACACTTCTTCATGTAAGGCAGCTTCTCTGAGGATTTGCTCAGCGTACAGATAGAATGAGTATGGTGAGAAGCTTCAGCTCTGTCACACACCTTTCTTGATTTTCAGCCACGCAGTATTCTCGTTTCACTTGAACAACTGCCTCTTGATCCATGTACAAATTTCACACGAGCACAATTAGGTGTTCTAGAATTTACCCATAGTTTGTTATCCACACAGCAGAATGCTTTGGCATAGTCAATAAAACAAAAGTAAACATATTCCCTGCTTTCAGCCAAGATACATCTGACATCAGCCATGAATTCTTTGTTCCATGACCTCTTCTGAATCTGGCCCGAACCTCTGGCAGCTCCCTTTCAATGTACTGCTGCAAAGTTTCTTGGATGATATTCAGAAAAAGTTTACTTATATGTGATATCGATGATATTGTTCTATAATTGCAGCATTCTGTTGGGTCACCTTTCTTTGAAATGGGAATAAATATGGATCTCTTCCAATCCATTGACCAAGTTATTGTCCTCCAAATTTCTTTGCATTAAAAAATGAGTGCTTCCAGTGCTTTACCACCTTGTTGAAACATTTGTTTGTATTCCATCAATTCCTGAAGCCTTTTTACTAATGTTTTCAGTTCAGCTTTAACCTTTTCCTTCAGCACCAGTGGTTCTTGCTCATAGGTTACCTCCTGAAATGGTAGAATACCAACCAGTTCTTTTTGGTACAGTAACTGTATTCTTTCCATCATCTTTTGATACTCGCTGCATCATTTGATATTTTGCTCATAAGATCTTTTAAGATTGAAACTTGAGGCATTAATTTATTCTTCAGTTCTTTCTGTTTAAGATGTGAGTGTATTCTTCCCTTTGGTTTTCCATTTCTAAATCTTTGCACATTTTACTGTAATATTAGGGAATGCAATCAGTGAGCACAAAACAAAATATGTATGAATTGGTGAATGAGACATTGGTTTGCTTACTAAACCTTTTCCCAATACATAATTGAAATGAAAAAATAAAATAAAAGTATTAATGTTCAAAACTGAATTCACCATCAGTCATATGAAATTGTACCATTGGTCAATCTATCCCCCAAACTAGAGGTATCTTAGTCTCTCTTTTTATCTTGCCATCCTATCAAATTAGTCTTCAAGACTTTCTAATATTGCGTTTAATATTAATTAAGTTGTTTTACACATATTTCCCTGACATATGTTCCTAATGAATTTAAAACGTTTGAAACAATCAACAGCATACAAAACTGTTGAATATAGAAGAGACTTTACTTTTGAACTCTTTGATAGTTGCCAGCCAGCTGCCTCGTCATGACAGGTTGTTCTCCTGTGGAACAAGGTCATTCTCCAACAATAGCCACGATGACAAAACAGTGCACTGAGTGGATTCCATCTCACAGAAACCCCCCAGACAGTCCCCCAGACAGAGCAGAACTGGCCCACAGACTGTTGAATTTCTTCCCCCATGGAGTAGCTAGTATATTTCTAACTGGCAACCTCTTAGCAGCCAGACACTCGAACCCCTGACCTATGAGGGCTCCTCAAAACCCACAATCCAACCACGACATCAGGAAATTAATATTCATCTGTTTCTATCATTTATCCTTAGACTGTTCCATTTGTGCCAATTGTACTCATAATAACAGCTTATATGGTAAATGGAGTCGGTTCTGAATCACACAATTCATTTAGTTTTCATGTCTCTTAATTTCCTTCAACCTAGGATAGCTCATTCTTTTTGACTGTCATGATCTTGATGTTTTATAAGATAGTAGGACAATTAATTTAATAGACAAATTCTTTCTTTAAAACAAATCTTCACCTTGGATTGGTATTATGCTTCTGTTTGGATGAACTAACGTATCTTTGGTAGAGATGCACAGAAGTAATACTGTCTTCTCATTGCATATTCTCAGGTAGCTCATGGTTTTGATCTGTTCCGTCTCTGATGATCTTCACTTTGCTTACTTGATTAAAATATCATCTGCCAGACTCCTCCAACGTGAAAGTGCCCCTTTCCCCTGAGTAATTCGTTAGTATGTTAATGGCGAGTTGTTTTGAATGTAGGTAAATACACTGTTCCTCAGACTCTCCAATTCATTCCTTTAGTAATTTTTAGGAGCATAAATTAAGTTTCCTATTTTAGCTAATACTATTTGTATTATTTTGATGCTCAGAGTGTTCCAAATTTAGCCACTGAGGGTCTTTTAAGAGAGCTTCTGTGTCTTTTTCTGTGCAACAGTATCGCATGACTGTTTGAACATTTCTTTGTTTCTACATACAAAACAAGATGTCCTGGGTTCAGCGTGTAGTTTCCCTGCTCCAGCCCTGGGATCAGGCTTTTGTCCAATTAGTCCTGATTCCTCTTAGTGGAGAACAATAGTGAGAAATCAAGATCTGGGTCTTAGTTGTGCTCACTCCTTTTGGGGGGTGGGGCAGCTCCAAGGCCCTTGCAGAACACATATACGCACAGCTGTTCTTTTCTACACCTGTGTATATTGACTGAAATCCATACATTCACATGAATTCGTCTACTTCCAATCCAATGTCACAAAGTGTACGATAATTTTCTATCTTAACCTAATTATAACTCTATCTGCTATTTATTTGTGGGAAAACTGGCTTCTATTATCCTTAATCTTTTTACTTATTGGATCAATTCCCCCATCATACTACCAATCTCCCATCACTCACTGCCTCAACCCTTCCCCATCGTGGGCACCCTCCTCACCTGGCATAGGCCCTGACACTCTACGGCAGGTATTAGTGTTTCTGGATTTGGTGAATAAAGAATATAGGTTGGCTAGTTAAATTGGAATTTCTCCTCCCACTCCATGCTGATGATTTCCTCAACTTGCTTGAAGTCAGAGGCCATGCCCCCCGCCCCCACCCCCGAATATCTGCTCCTATCCTGTTCCAGGGCTGATACTTGAAGCTTGACTTCATGCTAGACACAAAGTCCACTCCACAAGGGCTCTGACGCTGCAACACATGTGGACATGGTGCTCGCCCTGTTTAGGGTATCTTCCTCTGCCCGATGCATCGCATGTGGATTCCTTCTGAGCCCTCTCTTTTCAACATACAGTACTGCTTTCCCTCTGTGTGGCAGTTCTGACCCAGATAATGATTTTAGGACTACATTTTTGTGGAGGAGGAAGAACCAAAGCAATGATTTTGAGACCAGGACTTTGCAACACAATTTGTGAAACAAGGAGAGAGATGTAGTGGGCTGACTATAAAAGTGGCATATGAGTAAAAGCATAAGATGACCCCATTTACTGCTTGACTTTACCCTTGATCACACGTTTCTAAGCACTGTATATGTTAGACATACTTTGGGATTGTAGGCACTTACATTTGATAAAACAAAAAGAAAATTAATTCAAACGTTTTCCTCTTGCCGAATATTTTGGTGATTTGAAGTCTTTTCTGTGGTAGAAAACTAAAAGGGAAGGATTTAACATTTGCTGGTTTACTTTTTTTTTAAGGTAATTGTTGGCACACCTCATCTTTTGGATCAGTCCTTCTCAGACAGTTCTCACTCACCCAGTGTTAACTGTGTTCCTTTTTGCAGAGCAACACTGTTCTCATTCTTCTGACACTGAGAAAATGTTTAGAAACTGATTGTGGTGGCAAATATACAATTCTGCTGGATGTGATTGAACTGTGCAATGATCTGATATATGTATTAATCCCGATTAATAAAAATATTTTTAATTAAAAAAAAGAATAGGGGAAGCAAAGGTAGAAGAGAATGTGGAGTTTCAAAAAACTCTAAAGATGATTCTGTTTCAAACCTGGATTGATAATATAATATATAATCATGTTGACCAAAGGAACAGTATTATCGCAGCAATAAAAGCCTAACATTCAACGACTTCATTTTTTGTCCTATGTACGTCTTTTTCTCCTTTTCCACATTTAAGTTTTCCATGATCTTACTGCATAAGTAGTCTGTGCAGGTGTCAGCGCTGCCACACTCAGAACAAAACAGTCCCTTGTTATAAGGCCTTCTCCTCAGAGTTCCTCTGCAAAACAGCAAAAACAGTTAAGGAGGAAAAATGATCAACTTTACATATGATATAAACAGCACCGTTATTTTTAACTAGGTCCATAAAGTGATCTATGAACCCATGAACCCAGAGAAGTACTGAACATGAACCCAGAGAAGTACTGAGGTTGGATGCATGCCTCCCCTTTCAGAAAGCAGGCTGCATCACTTCAACAAGAGTGGGCTTAACATCTTTCATCTCAGTTTATAGCAAAACTTACTCTTTTTTGTGTGTGCAAAATGTACTCTTTAATAGAGTGATGTCACAATTGTTTTATAAATAATTTCTAGTAGGTATAAATGTATTAAAAAGCTCTGTAGAAATGGAATCTTGGTGGCGATACAAGGAGGGTGGAGGGAGGGTGGGTTGGAAAGGGGGAACCGATTACAAGGATCTACATGTGACCTCCTCCCTGGGGGATGGACAACAGAAAAGTGGGTGAAGAGAGGTGTCAGACAGGGCAAGATATGACAAAATAATTTATAAACTATCAAGGGTTCATGAGGGAGGGGGGAACAGGGAGAGAGGGGAAAAATTAGGAGCTGATGCCAGGGGCTTAGGTGGAGAGCAAATGTTTTGAGATTGATGAGGGCAATGAATGTACAAATGTGCTTTACACAATTGATATATGTATGGATTGTGCTAAGAGTTGTATGAGCCCCTAATAAAATGATTAAAAAAAATGAAATGGAATCTTGATTATCTGAAGAGTTTACAAAACCCTGAAATGTCTCTGGTCAAAGCTACCAAAGTGCATCAATTATTTTGAGGTCTCAACGGGAGAAAAAGTATAATCAAGCAAACAAATGAAAACACGATTCTACAAAATTGATGTGTTCGGTAGACAGGATTACAAAGGGAGAAGAGGCGGTGAGGTAGGCACTTTACAGAAACTGTAACACAAAGGAGAGGTAGAGACAATTTCCACACATCCCACTCCAGCATCAAAGGAAGTAAACTGCCGAGAAGACACATTTTCTTATCGATGGAAGGACCGAAGATAGTGCCAAGACCAAGTGGAGAAAGACAGAACGGCCCTGGTTTGTTTGAGACACATATTTACTTTTCTTGGAGTACATTAAAAATCATCCTCATGGGGCATGAGATAATTCCCATTGGTAGTATCATTAATTTTGTCAGTGGTAGAGCATATGAAACACTGTTAAGAAAAGGAAATCTCCATCTACAGGACATCTTTTTAGACCACACCCATGAATTATTCTTGTATATAGGTCCAAAACGTAAGTGACCAATTACACAAACCTTGAGTGGGGGGAGGTACGGCAAGACATTCAGTAACGCTCACCATGCCCACTAGACTAGCACACGTCCTAAAAGGCAGAGTATGAAAACAACAAATAGATGTCGATCCTAAGTCACAATTTGTTAGGCACCCTCAAAGCAAGAGATCAGAACTAAATCAAAATCCAAAGTCCACCGAGTCCCTAACCTTGAAATAGTGGTCATCTGTTTCTTCACCCACTTGGGATTTCAGCTTTACGTCCAAGGGAGTATTTCAGTTACTTAAATCTGCAAGTGAGTTTCAGGTAAAATCCAGTTCACTTAGTGGGGTTTCCAATTCGGGTCCTTCTGGTATGAGTTATGAAGGGTATGTGTGTTTCAAAAGGAGAGTAATGGCCCTGTTTTCTATAGCACGATGGCTGGGTCACCAATGGCTGAATGTAAAATAGGTCAAAATTATCCAATTAGGAACATAATATCAGGCGTATACTCCCCTTGGGGACTATATAAATAATGTTAAGTATTTTCCCCAATGGTAGGTTGCCCTATTGAGTTTATCCGCAAGCATAAGTGTATAATCACCTTCTCTGATACAGACGTCTGCCCCCTCCTCTTAGTGTGAGTTCACAGTAAGGCTCACTAATTACCCTCGTAGGACTGTATGCTGACTTGGGATGACTGTTCTATGGGAGGAATTGGGGGTGTTTGCCCTGTCCCCACACCATGAGAAACTGACCCCATCTAGGACCAGGCTACCTCCCCTGAAGTACTTTTTAAGATTTTTCAAATAAGGGGGCGCTATATGACTTATGGGAACTAGGTAGGAACACTATGTTTCTTGAGGGACTGGATTAGAAGGTTGCATGTTTTTCTCTGGGTGTTTATCCTTATAGTAGTGGACTCATACAGTATTTGTCCTGTTGTGACCGGCTAACTTCACTCAGCACACTGGTTTCTAGGTCCATCCGTGTCATGGGCGTTTTGTTGTTTCACCATTGTTTGTTAGAGATGCACAGTAGTCCACTGTGCGTATGTTCCAGAGTTTCTTTATCCATTCTCTGTCCCAGTTCATTTCTTTGCTCTCATTACTTAACTGAATGATCCAGAGATCTTATTTATATATCCTGGAAATATCTTAAATCTGTCTACTTTTCTCTACCATTCACCTGGGAATTCTATTTGAAATTTATTTTGCTAAAATTAGTGAGTAAGGAATGTAGCTTTATTTCTATCCAGTGAGTCTGCTCTCCAGAATCCATCACTTAATAGCCATAATTTAACAAGTGATTTTAAATGCCAACTTTATCATAAATGTTATGATATCAGTCCACTACTATAAGGATAAACACCCAGAAAAAGACAGGCTTCTCTTCTTAGGCCATGCAATTTTCTAATCCAGTCCCTCAAGAAACATAGTGTTCCTACAAGTTCCCATAAGCCATATAGCTCCCCCTTATTTGAAAAATCTTAAAAAAGTACTTCAGGGGAGGTAGCCTCATTCTAGATGGGGTCAGTTTCTCATGCATACATAACAAATGTTATGTATGTATTTGGAGCCATTCCTAATATTCTTATTATTCACTAATTAAAAGAAGAAGAAGAAAGGAAGAAGCAATCTGCCGCCGTTGAGGTGATTCAGACTCATGGCACCTCCATGTGCCTTAGACTAGAAACGACTCTGTGGGTTTTCTGGGCTGAATATTTATTGAAGCAGATTGCCAGACCATTCTTCTGCCGAACCACAGAGTCAAGATTAAAGATTCACGAAATAGTAGAGGAGCATATAACGGACTTACTAACCTGTTAACTGGAACATAACTAGGCATCAGCCAGAAAGGAAGTGAGCAAGTAAAAGTGTTCAAAATGCATTAAGGAAAACTTGACAGAAATCAAAGTACAGTGGACTATTCTAGTGCGACTGTGTAAATGATTAAAAAGTAATGTAAGTGAAAAGGAGTTATAACTTGTAAAATACAGAATTTGAATTCAAATGATAAAATTTGAATATCCATGAAGCATTTTATGAAATCAATTATATAAACATTTTATAGAAACCTTTAAAATTCAAGACATTATTATATTATTCCCTAAAATGGACAATTTTAATCTACCAAATTATTATTATTTTTAGATACAGGAAAATACCAAATACATAACAATTAAGGACACATCTGAATAATCCTCAAACCAAAGTGGGATTTAATTAAATTTTAGGTTTTGATAATCCAACAAACTAAAATCAGCACTTTCTCCCCTTTCCTTTTAGAAATCCCTCAAATGCAAAGAAAAACAGAAGCCTATCTATAACCCCCACCGAGGGGGATGGACAATAAGGGGTTAAAGGGAGACAGTTCAAGATGTGGAAAAATAATAATACTTTATAAATTATCAAGAGTTCATGAAGGAGTGAGAGAGGAAAGGGAGGGAGGGAAAAAATGAGCTGATACCAAGGGCTCAAATAGTAAGAAAATGTTATGAAAATGATGATGGCAACAAATGTACAAATGTGCTTGACACAATGGATGTGTGTACAGATTGTGATAAGAGCTGTACGATTCCCAATAAAATGATGTTTTTTAAAGATAATAAATCACATGATATTTTATATTAAAAAAAAAAAAGAAAAACAAGCACAAACCCTAGCTTTGATGATTCTGTGGACATATAGAACTCCTAACCACAACAGAGAATGAAGTATTGCCACATGCAGGAAAGATAAACAGGAATATGAAAATAGAGTGAAAAAAATACATTCCATGCTGCAGATATTAGAAAACGTTATTAGATGACATCTCCAAAATAGATGACATACCTTACCAACGTAAACTAATATATATGTGTATTTAAGCAATAATTATACTTGAGGATCAAGATAACTGTGAAGGCATTAAGGAATTGATTTGGTCCTGAATGGAGCAGACGGAGGAGGCTGAATAAGGAATCACTCAGGGAAGTCCGAGGAGCAGGAAACAGTCCGTCAAAGGCACAAAAACATATGATCTTTGTTGTCAGATGAGATCTAGGGCATGAGAAATAATTCAGACACAGAATCCTGTAACATAGGGAAAAAAAAATCTGTTGCCATGGATTTATTGTCTTTGCTCTTCTCGGATTTGAACATCATACAACTAGCTGATCTAGGAAGGTTAATGTTGTTTAAAGAGTAAAACAAAAACAAAATGAAAAAAAACTAGCAGAAAAACATTTTTTAAAATACATGAAGAAATAAGGAAAGAGGTATGCATATAAAATGACCGATGAAGAATTACTACCAAAAAGTCGGCATAAAGCAAAGAAACAATTTAGGGAGAACTCCATCTTCATGGAGCAAGCGCACCAGTCACAAAGATCAAATGTGAACAGCCGAGACTTAAGCAGAAGTGAGAATAAAGCCATCACAATGAGGAGCATATTAAGGAAAATATGGTAAGTGTCATGAAGACAGGATCGAGAAAGATTACAGTCATTAAGATAAAATTAACAGAGCTTAGAGATAAAATTAAACAATTGTACAAAATAGTATTTATAGCAAATATTTTCCAAATCAGAGTAGCAAAAATATTTAAAGTTATAGTTCAAGAAAACTTTCCAGAAAACAAATGTCTTCAGAGAAATGTCCCTTTCCATACTAGCAAAGTAATTTGAGTATATTACTGGCCCACCGCTGGTAAAATCTGGATAAAATATTTTAGAAAAACTATTTTAAGTCTCCACATCTACTCAGAGTCCAATTTCCTACCCATTTGCCTAGTTCTCACAAAACAGATTAGAAGGCTTCTAAGTCTTCTTCCATTTCTGAAATTTTACAATTCCATATATATGTTTCTATACATATATATGACTGACTCAATTAAAATGCAAACTACAAGGGGTAGTCAATAAAAGTGGCCTTCATGTTCGTTACTGATTGTGTGCCCCCCCCCACACACACACACACAAAGTGTTTTTAATTCCAACCCCTCACATCATTGAGGAAGGAGGCCTGGTGGTACAGCGGCTATGAGCTCAGCTGCTACACTAAGGTGGATGGTTTGAACCCACCAGCAGCTCCACAGAGAAAAGATGTATTTGCTCCTATAAAAACTGCAGTGTGGGAAATCCTAAGAGGCATCTCTACACTGACATGCAGTGTTTCGATTCAGAATTGCTTCTACGATACACACCACCACCACCACCAGATCCGTGGATGCACTCCCTGGTTAGGAATCAGACTTTCTTTATTATGTTAATGGGGTAATGATCACTGTTGAGTGTGTCCTAGATCTAATACACTTTGAGGTAAAAAGACAGTAGAATAGATTGAGATAGCATGCACAAACTAGGTAAGAGTCATGCTATATGAAGATAACCCAGCAACCAAAGATGGTACAGGATACCCACAGGGAAGGAGCTGGCCGGCCCCAGACCCTGATAGCTGTGGCACCTCCTAAACTTTGAGAAAATAAATTTCTGTCCTTTAAAGCTACCTATTTGTGGCATTTCTGATACAGCAGTATGAAAAAACTAGCAAACTGAACAAAGCTGATACGCAAAGGTAAATTGAAAAGTATTGTTAATAGAGTTCCAGTTCATAAATCCATGGATTTATTCCAAACAAATTGTATTCGCCCCTCAAAAGACAGATATGGCAATCTATTTTCAGAAGGTCACAACCTTGAAAACACTGTGGAGCAATTCGGCTGTGCACACATGGAGTCCCCATGAGCTGGAAGGAACTTCGGCAACTCTCCACCGATCTAGAGCTCCTTATGGGAGTAGAACTGTCTATTATGCTACGGGGGCCAGTGTACACTGGACCTCATCACCTTTTTCATCCCCCTCTTATGGTGAATTGGGTTATATTTTACAAATTGTTTTTTATTAAACAATTCATACACAAACATTCATACACACACTTATATTTACATATCTATGTATATGCCCCTCCCCCCAACATCGCTGTGATCTGTGAGTAGCTGCAGACGAGCTCTCTAAGCAACATGCTTGTCTTAGTTTCGTTGGGGTGCCTTCAAAAAAGGTCCAATCAAAACCATGGTACCTAAGATCTTCTGGGTCTGTTCCATTCTAGACAGTGAGGTCAGATCAGAAATTTATGTGACTTTATCCTAGAATTAGAAGTAATTTGGATAGATTTCCTGGAAGATGATCCTGGGATTTATCCATTTTAAGAAAATTGGAAAACACATTGGTGAGGAAAAGTCAGCCAAGTTGTACTGAGGAATGTTTTCCAACATGATAATGTACTTATTTTTTGAAGACAGTAAGGGCTGTCCTACAAGAATTTGTGTGGGAAACCTTAGTCCACTCACCATGCAACCATGATCTTGTCTCTTCAGATTTCTTTTTGTTTCTTAGACTCAAATAACATTGGAAAGTAAGATGATGTGAGTCCGTCGTTGGCCCTTCCTTGGATGTGGTTTGCCTTTCTCTTTCCTTGCCCTCTAGTTCTTGAGACTGTGTGTGCCCTATCACCGGATTTCACCAGCAACTGCAGGCTTACGGATGAGTGTGTCGGAACTTTGGAGCTTTTGCATTTACTAGCACCACAACTACATGAGCCATCGTACTCCATGTTCAGAGTTCTGTGTGGCCATTGCAGGCAGTTGCAGATCCCTGGGACTTGAGGGAACATAGTAAGGGGAGGAGTGGTGATCAGTATCAGGATTAAGGGAACAGTATAGAATTTTTTAAAACAGGGGCATTTGGGAAACTAACAGCCATCATCTTGAGACTAGTCTTATATTATTTTTTCTAAAAGAAATGACTTCTGCAATTGGACCCTGATCTGATTGGACTTTTTTGTTTGAAGGCATGCAAACATGTCTAAGAAAAAATTTATTACTAAAATAGCTTTTTTGCCACCATTCACTGAAATAAACTTACATATGAGCAATTGACAGTGTGTTAAGTTGGGTTCTTTGGAAAAGAAAAAAAACAATGATCTCTATCATCTCTAGCCCTATCTATCTATAGAAAAATTTCTACAAAGGAACTGGAAACACAGGGAACCCAGGACAGATGATCCCTTCAGGACCAGTGGTGAGAGTGGCGATACCGGGAGGGTGGTGGGAGGATGGGGTGGAAACTGATTAAAAGAATCTACATATAACCTTCTCCCTGGGAGGTGGACAACAGAAAAGTGGGTAAAGGGAGATGTCGGAGAGTGTAAGATATAACAAAATAATAATAATTTCTAAATTATCAAGGGTTCACAAGGGAGGGGAGAGCCGGGAGGGAGGGTAAAATTGAGGAGCTGATACCAAGGGCTCAAGCAGAAAGCAAATGTTTTGAGAATGATGATGGCAACAAATGTACAAATGTGTTTGACACAATGGATGTATGTATGGATTGTGATAAGAGTTGTATGAGCCCCAATAAAATGATTTAAAAAAATAGTTTTTTTAAACTTAAAAAAAAAAAAGAAAATGAATCACAAAGTTGTAGAATTGGGCCAGCGTTGGCAATTTCCAAGTCCATGTATCAGATGTTAAACTGGAGGCTTCTGACTTATGTGGCTTTGTGAGCTGATTAACTAAAGGTCAACAGGTAGCCCACAAGCTGATGACTGCAAGTGGAGATGAATCTAAGGACAGCAGGGAAGGCTTATGACTGGAGAGGCAAATGAACTGCAGGCTGGCAGGCCAGGTAGCAGGTTTCATGGCTCCCAGGGTCATTTCAATTGCATCAGGGTTGTGACCTCAGTAAGGGTGTTGCATTCTATCCTAATTGTCTAACAACTTATGGGCTGCTCACAGTGGATCCCATTATAGAGTTGATCACAATATGTTAGGCCACCTAGGGCTTAACTGCCAAACCAGCAAGAATTCTGATCCAGCCAAGTTGACACAACTAGTTGACCTAACTATCACAGCTGATATGTTCCACAGTTACCCTTCACCTTATTTTGGCAGATGATATGGAGCTTCTCTATTGTCTCTTCCCTACAGATGTGTCTATTTGATTATTGTGTATTCCATCCGGTTAGGTCCATAGTATATGCCACCAATATTTCAAACACCAGCAGAGCTACCCATGGTGAATAGGCTTCAGGAAAGTTTGTAGACTAAGAAAAACTTGGGAGGAAGGAGTGGGATGTCTGTGGGATTAGCCCTGAGAACTCTGCAGACAGCAGTGGAACACTGTCAGATATAGAGTCAGAAGATGAGTCCCTTCGGTTAGGAGGTTCTCAAAATAAGCCCGAGGAAAAGCTTCCTCTTTGAAGTGAAATCAAACTTTATGTGGCAAATGAGTACAGCTATTGAAACCTTCATTTGCTGGTGGGGCATGATTGAAAATTAATAATTAGAACACAGAATATACAAAGTATAAATTTAGGAAAATTGGAAGTTATTCAAAATTTGAAAGAAAGCATACAGTTCCATATCTTAGGGCTTAGTGAGCTGAAATAGACTGATATTGGCCCCTTTGAGTCAGAAAATTATTTGGTTTACTATCCTGGTAATGAGAAATTCAGAAGGAATGATGTCACATTTATCATTAGAAAGAAAATATCAAGATGTGTCTTGAAGAACATCATACTTGGTAGAGGAGAAGGGAAAAAGAGGAAGCCCACTGATGAGCTGAATTGGCTGCGAGAATAGATTATGATTGTGGGGCAGGACCTGAGTCAGAGCCGTGTCAACAGGACCCGACAACAGCATCTTAAAGAACAATGCTGTCTGTGATAGTATATCTGTTCCCACATAAGGAAGTCTGGTTAATATAACTACTATTCAAATGTAAACACCAGCCACCAGAGCTAGCAAAGTAGAAACTGGAGCATTCTGCAAATGTCTCCAATCTGAAATTGATCATATATGCAAACGTTTATGTACTGACAATTGCTGATGATTAGAATGCCAAAGCTGGAAATGGAAAGAAAGGATCAGGAATTGGAAAATATGGCCTTGCTGATAGAAACAAAGTTGGAGATTGCAAAATACAATTTGCAACACCAATGACTTCTTCATTGCAAATACCTTATAAATATGAAAATAGACTAATTTGGCCAATTACATAAGACTTATGCTAATTAGGATAGCTGTTGTTAAATAGCACTGTTTAAGATTTATCTAGAGAAAATATTACTAGGCTGTTCCATAACTAATATCAATATGTCTAAGCTGTGGCTTATTATATTGTAGAATTTTTAAGTTATTAGGAATTCTTTAATATTTTATTAATAATGTATTTGACTAATATTTAATTCTATTATTGTTCACAAATACAAGAAAAACAATGGATGTTAGAAAAGCCTTAAAACTTTTCAATTTTTTAAATATTATTTTGTTAATTAAAATGAACTTACCCTGGTGCATAGTTGCATATGAAAATTGCAAAATGAACTTACCCTGGTGCATAGTTGCATATGAAAATTGCTGCATGTTTAATATGTCCAATTCTGGAGCATGGAGTAACAGCACAACCAACTTTATAAGAGTTATTCCAAACAAGCTAAAATTAAAAAATATATATATAATTCTAAACAACACATTATTAATCAAATATCGTTACTATAAATGGTTCAAATACTGGATTCCATTCACATATAAACATTAACCAAAGGATTCAAGGAATATGAACTATTTTTCATTTAGATAAAGGTAGAGAATTATACTAGACTTAGATCAGCATTTCTAAACCTCCATTTAGGGTAATACTAATAGAGGCTAACAACACTGTTCTTGGAAAAACAGTTTGAGAAATACTGGTCTAGAATAATGCTTCGAGCCCAGAGAAGATAAACCCGTTGAGTCCATTTTTAGCCTCTGGTGGAATCTGAAAGTTCTACGTAGGCAAAGGGAAAAGGAAGGGCAGACAAAGTTTTGGAAGAATAGAAGCTGTGCAGAGAAGGGAGAAAAAGTAAGAGTGAAAGCAGAGAAGGAAAAGAAGATACTGGAAGGTCAAGAGAAGAGACTCAATTCAGTCACAAGGCCAGGTGGGTGGCAAGCAGCAAAGTTTATCAAAGTTTAGTTCTCGCCTGGGTACAGACGGACTGAGGCAGAACAGTGCATCCCCCGGCTGAGACTGGAACATGCATCCGTGCTGAGCTCAGGGACTAGTGCCTTTATATCCTGTACAGAAATGAGGACTGGGGAGGAAAATACAGTTGCGGTCTTCTTGATCCATGGGTGTCACAACGCTCCAGATAGACATTTTTGGTCGTCATGGTTCATGGTCTTTGATTCCTTCTTGGTCGTCACTATCCTTGGTTCCCTGGTTTCTGACAAAGGCACATTCTTTCCTGCTTATGCAGAACTTGTTACAGGGTCAGCCCTGGGGAAGGACTTTACAGGGTGGGCTCAAGGGCAAGCCTGGAGCAATTTTGGTCCCCAGCAGACTCTATTAAGCCTTACAGATACAAGCATAGAAAATAAGTGAATATTCCTAGCATTTCTCACTAATTTTGTTGAAAAATTTTCAATGTAAAATATAAAGAGAGTCTGGCTTTGTTATTTATTTATTTTTTAAAAAGAAAACACAGGCCTTGAATGGAATGAAATGTGGGAATAATTAAAGACAATCCAGCAATTCTCTGGATGCTTTTAATCATTCTAATACTTTCCAAAGTCTTTTTTAAAAAATTAATCCCTGGAAGAGATAAAGAAGCCGTTTCTAATTTCTTCTTCAATACTTAGTCTTAGGGGTTTTTAAAGTGGGTTTTGAAATGAAATCGAGTAAGAGTCGAAGTGGAGTCAAGTGGTCAACTACAAGAGTAAGTCAAGTGGAGTTGAAGTGGTAAGTCAAAAAGTATGGTTATAAAATCATAGAAACCTTTATTAAATAAAAGTATTTAAATGTTATTGTTTCTCGATATTTTCTCTATATAAGCCTATGTACTTCTGAAGGTTCTATTTCCATCTCTCTAACCCTTCCCTGAGTATTTCTGTGCTCTTCAATTTACAGCATGTCAAAATTACAATTTTGGCATCCTTGGAGGGCTCTAATCATGTTCTTTTTCAATGTCCTTTGCCATTTGGGAAGCATAAGAATTCTGAAGGGCCATCATCAGGTCTGTAGGGTGAATGGCCTAAGGTTTCTCAAGGAAATTCTTTAGGACGACTGTTGTAACCTTCAAAAAATGAGAAGATACATTGTTGTGTTGAAAAAATAATCCTCTATGCAAATTTCTTGGTCTTTTCTTCGCTATGAAGTTTTCAATTTTCTTTAAATTTCATTGTATTTCCTTCAGGAAAAGCTATCAAGATTATATCCCTTTGGGATCCCAGAAATAGCTGATATATCCTTTTGAGTTGGCCTTGATTTCCTGAATTTAACTAGCTCAAGAGATGCCCTTGGAAGCCTCTCCTTTGGCTGCATTTTTTTTTTTTGGTGGGGGGTTAGGGGTGGCATTCTAATGAGACCAAGACAAGTGTGCTTCCGAGAGAAATTGTCTGTGGCGATCCACTGATGACAGAGATATGTTCGGATATTTTATTTGAAATACATTTTTACAAAATGGAACTTTACCAGCAATACATTTTGACTCAATTTTGTTCTGGAAATAGGAACATCTAGGTTGCTAAAACTGAGCAGAAGTCAAATATACAATGGAGGATGGTAAGAGTCGATGTTTTTCATTTTACTGAACATTTCGAGGTCCTGCTGAGGAGTTCAGCTATGAATGAAGCTGTGTAAGACCATGCCAACTTTTCAGAAGAGGAAAGACCAGCACAAGATTGGTTGTTCAAATTGAAATATGATTCATTTAAAGAGAAAAGAAATGAATTCAACATATACAAATTCCAAGATTTTAAGTTCTGCATAAATCATAATACCCACGCCTATGCTTGAAAAAATGGACACCTCATAAATAAACTCGCAAGTTCATACAATAATTTCTTCATCTCTGCTACAAACATTTATTGAAGACCTAAAAGTGTCATGTTGTGTTCAGAACATATGGTAAAGATGACAAGATTGCTTCCCCAATGTAGTATCATATATATATAGATGATTAGTAAACAATGTGGTATGCGAAATAATAAAGGGATGTGTAGGAAGTGACAAGTGGTCCACTATTTCTGGAGGGTGAATTGGTAGAGCATGAAGCAGACATAAACTTAATCAGTAGATGAGCTAAATAAGAGTACACATATTAATCTAATAATTTTAAAATAATTTTATTTGCTAGGTTCTTGCTTTCTTTTCCAGAGTGAATTATTTTCTAGAAAAGTGATTTTCATCTTTGGGTAAGGAAATTTTAAAATATCCCACTGCCTTGAGTCAGTTCTGCCTCATATGGCTCTGATAATGACTCAGTAAAGCAGCCTCCCAGGGCTCCCAGGGCTCATAGATCTTTACAAAAGCACACTTGCTGTCATATCGTAACCCAGCAATGGCTTGTGGGTTTAAATCGCAACCTTTTGGTTAACAGGCCAGTGTTTTAATCAGTGAACCACCAGCATTTCAGATGTGAAGATTTTGTTTACAATAATTAAAATAATGTTTTACTAACATGACTAATATGATAAATGGAATTATAGGCATTTTGAAACTCTGAGTGATTATATTTGCTTCTATTAGAATTAAATGTTTACCAATTAAGTTTATTATATTCAAAATGTAATCAATTATAATTGGACAAAAGCAATTAGAGGATCTATTGAATTAACAACAATATAAAAATTAGATACCTGCAAATAATGAGAACATTCAGAAGTACAATTCCCATTTTCATAATCATAATTGTCTTTCTCTGCATGCCAATTTCGGATAGCAATACTTGCAGTAAATTCATTTTCAGGGCCAACCCAGATATTTTCACCAATACCATTATATTTAGGATGCACCATATTTAGTTCGTCTAAATAACTGTTAGTCTTAAATAAGCATTTTTTCCCCCAAGCTCTAGCAGTCCGTGACAATGCAACATCCCATGTCTGAAAAAAAAATTCAAAAAGCAAAGAGAACAAGATAATAATAATCATGATTTTCGTGCTCTAAATTATTTTCTTTGAGGTTTCATAGATTTCAGAAAAATTAAACTTTAATTTTGTACTTACGGATTTTATTTGTACAATTCTTCTGGGGGGAAATTTTGTATATAATCATAAACAATCATTTTTCTGAGACAGAACCATGAAAATATAATTAAATATATGAAAGTTAGATGATACAACTAATTATAAAACTCTTATAATCAATCTACCCAGAATTCTTGATACCTATTTCAATCCAGTGAATTTTTATGTAGTCATACAATAATTTAAAATATTACTAGTGTAAGAATCATTTATTTAGCACCAATTATATGTAAAATATTATATTCTGAGGACTATAATGAGAAATCAGGCATATATTTTATGCTTAAGGAGATTATGGTAAAGAGATAAACTTGTGAAATCATACACATTAAAAACACATGATAACTTTTGATGAATGCTATAAAATGGGCACATATAAAAACTGGCACAATGGTTAAGCGTTGCTAATCAGCAGGTCAGCAGTTAGAACTCCCCCTGCCCTCCACAGGAGAAAGATTTGGTTGTGAGCTTCCTTAAATATTCCAGTGTGGGAAAGCCTTTGATACAAAGATACTCTCTTCTATAAGGGCTCTTTGAGAAAGAACTGATTCAATGGAAATAGATCTTCATTTGCAACTCTGATCTGATGAATAAAATTGCACTTTGAAATCAAATTTTTATTTAATAATTTTCAAATTAAAAATATCTGTGTTAATGCCCCCCGCCCCCCCAAAAAATTTCTAGAAATGTGAGAAAATATCAGAGATGCTGTTCCCTGGTTAGTTATGTAGACATATTCAGAACACTATACTTTCATCATCCTGTGGCAGCTCATTGAGTTCACTGTCATGGGCAAAATCGAAACAATACACATAGTAAAATCTGCAAAACAGTTGTCGGACCAATATGCACTCTTACTAAGCCTCCAGAGACTCTTACTAAGTGCGTCATTCACTCACTCCTTCACTGCCTTCAACTAGATGCTGCCCCATAGAAAGGCAATAGCACAGGGTACAGATCCGCGGGTTCTGAGGCCACCATTCTTTCTGGGAGCAGCCAGTCTCCTCTTTCTCCCTGGGAGGGGCTGGTGGGTTCAAACTGCCGACTTTGTGCTATCCAGCCACCTTCTAATCCACTACACCGGGGCTCTTTTACTAAGTATATATGTTACAATAAATATTGAATTATTTTGAAAAGTATTACTGATTCCTTTGTCTTTTAAATAATTATACATAAATATTCAAATTATTTAAAGAAATCAGATGTTATTTATAATACTTCATACTTCCTTTCAGAAAAGTAGCTATTGTTTTTAAAAATTCCCTATGGATACATTTCTCTCTATAATTCCTTTTTTCTCTATATTTCTTTATACACACACATACACGCATAATTAAATCTAAGTTTGATGGGTCTAGTAGACTCTGTGGGATGTTTTTCCTTATTGCACTCATGTACTTACACCGTATTATTGACCTGCCGCTTAGTGTTTTACAGAGACTTCTCCATATCAGTACTAGATTTACCTGAGTTGTTGCTGTTATTGTTTTTTAAATAAACTTTGCAAGTACTCCAAAATATCGATAGCCGGTAACAAATCTAGTTATTACACTGCCGTGTCCTTTAGCTCGTTGCACGTTTTGCCAACAAGTCTCTGATGATCATCCTTCTATTTACTTACTTTGCGTATGATTTTTATACCAAGTATTTTCCATGCACTTGCCAGTATTCTAAACATTTTACAATATATTATCTCATTTGATACTGACAATAACCATATGGTGTATGTAGTTATGTATTATTGTTGTTATTTCTGACTTACAGAGGAATAATAAAAACAGAGAGCATATTACAGCTTGACGTAAGGTGCCACAGTCAGTAAGCTGTGGAATCTGGATTTAAACGAAGAAAATCTAACTCTCAACTTCAAATTTATATGCATGTTCCTTTCTTGTATCCCCAGGACTATATGAAAAGAAAGTATGATAGTTCCACATTTCTTTATTCAAGCTTGGATGGAATCATATTAGAAGACAAAGGCTAAACTTTCAAGTAACCATAAATTAAATACTTAAGGATAAATTTGGGGAAGGCAGGAAGAAAAGCCAAAATAAATCTCGAAAGAGACTCTGAAACTTGCTTTTGAACTTAAAGGATGTCTATCTATATATGGATGGAAGAAATGGTGCCATAAAAGAACTGAACAGAACATTTCAAAGAGCAGCACAAGATGTAGGATTATAATGAAATGCACACTTTAGAGAATCAAAGGGGAAGGCAGCACTTTGCATTTCTCAAGTTGAAATTTAAAAAAATTTCCATGTCTCAAGTTGAAATCTTGAAGGATTCTAGAAGCGAAATATTGAATTATCTAGAAAGCATTAAAAAATGTAAAGAATACATAAAGTCATGGCAACAAAATAATTGGTTGGGAATTAACCATTTCAGTAACTGGTGGTACTAAAGGAAAAAGTTTGACAGCAAGAGAAAATTGGTGAAATATCAATTAAAATGTTAGGGGTTAAAGAAAAATGAAGCACTCATTCATCTGGCATGGGTTCCCCAATGTACTTGGTTATGGCCCACTTTTCAGAAAAAAGGAAAAAAATGACTGCCACAATTTAATTTACTTGTTTGATAAATTAAATTGTTTAAATTATTTAACTGTCTGGCAATTTAAAATTTTTGTACTATAGCCCATAATCCAGGATAAAATGTCGGTATCTATTGCTGAAGCAGCGCTGAATCATTTCAGTATCCCACAGGGGACATAAACGCCCACTTTAGGAAACACTGATCTGTGTCAAGAAATTCTTGGCCAACCAACTGGAAGAGATATTTGTGTCCACTCCAAAGGAAGGTGACCCAACAGAATATGCAAATTTGAGAACAATGTCATGTGAGTAAAATTTTGCTGAAGATCATCCAACAATGGTTGCAGCAGTACACTGACAGGAAGTGCCACAGATTCAGACCAGATTCAGAGGAAGCTGTGGGGCAAAGGATATCATTGCTGATGGCAGATGGATCTAGGCTGAAAGCAGAGAATATCAGAAAGATGTTACCTTGTTTTATTGTCTATGCAGAAACAGTCCACTGTGTGGACCATAACAAAGTATGGACAGCCTTGAGAAGAAAGGGAATTCCTGAACACTTGACTGTGTTCATGTAGAACCTGGATCAAGAGGCAGTTGCCCTAATAGAACAAGGGAAGACTGCATGGTTTAAAGTCAGGAAAGGAGTGTATCTGGGTTATCTCCCCTCACCATACTTATTCAATCTGTATGCTGAACAGATTATCAGAAAAGCTGGATTATATAAAGAACAATGTGTCATCAGGATTGGAGGAAGGCCTATTAGCAACCTGTGATATGCAGATGACATACCTTGCTTGCTGAAAGTGAGGAGGACTTGAAGCACTCGCTGAGAAAGATCGAGGATGAAAACTTTTAGTATGGATTACAATTCAATGTAAAGAAAATCCAAATCCCCACAACTAGATCAATCATTAACATCATGAAAAATAAGGAAAGGGATTGAATTTGTCAAGAATTTCATCATCATCATAATAGAATACCCAATAGAATGTTCAAGGAAGAAACAATCAAGAGAGCAAATGACACATTGCATTGGGTAAAGCCACTGTATAATATCTCTTTAAAGCAGTCAAAAACATGGATGTTACTTAGAGGACTGGGGTGTGTCTCACCAAATCCATGATATTTAGTCATCTCATATGCATGTGAAAGTTGGACACTGAGTGAAGGAAGATCGAAGAATTGCTGCATTTGAATTATGCTGCTGGTGAAGAATATTGAAAGTACACGCGCTGCAAAAGAACAAACAAATCTGTCTCGGAAGAACAGCCAGAATGCTCCCTAGAAGCTAGGATGGCGAGACTTTGTCTCATGGACCTTGAAGATGTTCTCTGCAGAGACAAGTCCCTAGACCAGGACCTCATGATTAGCAGAGACAGGGAAAGAGAGGCCGACTCCACACAAGATGGATCGAGAGAGTGGCTGCAACAATGAGTTCAGCGTAAGAAAACTTTTGGCAATAGATTAAAAACAAACAAAAAGAAAGAAAAATTGTGAGAATGGTGCAGGACTGGGCAGTGTTCACTATGAGCTGGAACCCACTTGATAGCATTTAATAACAGCATAGACTCTAATATTTTCCTACTATTTTTGGTCAGCATGTAAGTATGAAAGTTTTTGTCGTTGGTTTGTATTGTGTTAAAGTGCCTGATTTTAAAAATTGTTATCTCCTTTTACAGAAACATAATATTTATTTATAGAAAATAAAGGCAAACCTTCTTTACTAGTGTTTCTCCACCATTACTGCTGTATGTAAGTATAAACATCAATTTTTAAAAATGAAAAACATAAAAAAAAGAAAAACAAATTAATGTAATTTCATATACTAATGTTAATATTAATTTAAGTCACTATTAGTAGTATTTGCATTTTAGGACAAAAATTTTTTTGGTTATGAATAACTGGCTATATTTAAACAGAAGAGATCAAAATACTGAATACAATGTGACGGTCTTCACTACAAGGTTGTAGTACACTTAAATTGACAAAAAAGAAAATATGTCACACCATTCTTGCAATATGGATTTACTTCCATTAAAGAGAAAGGAGTGAAAAATCCCCTTTGCTTAATTTTTAATGAATATTTGGCTGTGGGGGACACCTGCCAACATAAAACCACATTTTAATATGAAACATAAAGCATATTGCTATATACCAAAGGAATATTTTGAATGAATTTTAAATTCTTCAAGTAAAGGAAAACAATGTTTTGAGAATTTTGTTACTGTCAATGAAATGCATTTATTTGTATCTTACAAAACTTATTTAACTGAAAAAAACTAAGCCCTATGCAACAGAAGGATTTTGGTCAGTATATACATTATATACCGGGGGCTGTAATCCTTTATGTTCATCAGCAAAGGCTTCAATGCCTCCTTGCTTTCAGCAAGGTTGCGTCATCTGCATATTGCAGGTTGTTAATAAGCCTTCCTCCAATCCTGATGCCACACGCTTCTTCCTATAATCCACCTTCTCTGATGATTTGCTCAGCATACAGTCTGAATACGTATGGTAAGAAGACGACCCTGATACCTTTCCTGATTTTAAACTTTGCTGATTTAAACTATTATTTTAAACTATCCCTTTGTTCTGTTCACACAACTGCTTGTTGATCCACATACAAGTTCCTCGTGAGCATAGTGAAGTGTTCTGGAATTCCCATTCTTCTCAAGGTTACCCATAGTTTTTTATGGGTCACATAGTCAAATATCTTGGCATTGTCAGTAAAACACAAGTAAACATCGTTCAGGTGTTCAGGTGTTCTTTGATCCAAAATCCATCTGACATCAGCAATGACATCCCTTGCTCTAGCTCCTCTTCTGAACACTGCCTGAACCTTTGGCAACTCCCTGTCAAAGTACTGTTGCAACCATTATTGGATGGTCTTCAGCAAAATTCTACTTACATGTGATATCAATGATAATGCCCTGCCTACAATTTGGGCATTATGTTGGGACACCTTTCTCTGGTATGGATATGTATATGGATCTCTTCCAGTCAGTTGGCCAAGCATGTGTCTTCCAAATTCCTTGGCATAGACTAGTACGTGCTTCCAGTGTTTCATCACCCTGTTAAAACAGTCAATTGGTATGCCATCAATTCCTGGAGGCTTGTTTTTGTGGCTAATGCTTTCATTGCAGCTTGAACTTCTTTCCCACTATTAGCTCTTGCCCATATGCTACCTCCTGAAATGATGGACTGTTAACTGGTTCTTTCTGGTACAGTGACTATATTCTTTCCATCTTCTTCTGATATTTCCTGTATCATTCAATATTTGCCCATAGAATCCTTCAATATTTAACCTGATTCTTGAAAATTTTGAGTTCTTTCGATGTAAGATATGTTGAGTGTATTCTTCCCTTTTGTTTTTCTCTTTCTATGTCTTTGCACATTTCATTATAATATTTTACTTTGTCTTTTCAAGCCATCCTTTGAAATTTTCTATTCATTTATTTGACTGCATTATTTCCTCTGTTTGATTTAGCTACTCTAAGGTTAAGAGCAAGTTGCAGGGTCTCTTCTGACATCCACTTCTATCTTTTCTTACCTTCTGCCTTTTTAATGACCTTTTACTTTCTTCATGAATCATGTTCTTGATGCTTTCCCATAGCTCATCAGGTTTTCTGTAACTAAGGCTCAATGCACCAAATCTGCTCTTGAGATGTTCTTGATATTCAGGTGGGATCTCAAGGCCATATTTTGGCTTTCATGAACTTGTTTTTATTTTCTCCTGCTTTAACCTGAAGTTATATATGAGCAATTGGTGGTTTGTTCCAAAGTCAGTCCCTGGCCTGGTTTTAGCTATTGATATTGAGCTGCTCCATCTTCTCTTGCCACAGATAGTCAATTTGACTTCCATGGAGAATTCTGCGTGTCCAGTCACTTTTAGTGTTGCTGGAAAAATTTGTTGCTCTTGAAAAATTCTAGCCTGGGCTCTCTAGCTTTGTTTTTATCACCAATACCATATTTTACAAGTTCTGTTCCTCCTACTTTGTTTCCCACCATTGAATTCCAATCACCAATATTTATCCACGCATTCTGATTGCATGTTTAATCAATTTCTGACTGAAGACTTTAGTAAACTTCTTCAATTTCTTCATCACTGGTTTTTGTGGTTGATACATAAATTTGAATAATAGTTGTATTGATTGAATTTCCTTGAAGGCAAATAGATATAATCCTATCAGAGAGCAGTGGACTTCGTGACTGATTTTGCAATGTCCTCTTTGACAAGGAATGCCACACCACTCCTCTTGATTATGTTATTCCCTGCAGAGTAAATTGTATGATCTTCTGATTTAAAATGGCCAATACCAGTCCATTTCAGCTCACTAATACCTAGGATTTATGATTCTCATTTCTCTTTTAATGACTTCTAGATTCATATTTCCCACATTCCAAGTTCTGATCATAAGTAGATTTTTGCAGCTGTTTCTCCTTACCTTGAGTCATTTCCCACCAGCAGATGAAGACCCTGGAGGCTCTTCTCCCACACACGTTACGCCATGCCTGTCACTGTGGTTGACTCCACTCTGAGAAAGCAGCTTCTCCCCGGTCACATTCTGAGTGCCAACCAACCCACGGGCCCATCCTCTGGCACTGTTTCCAACAAGGTTCTGCTTCTGTACATTAGGCCATCACTATCTGGCAATATCTGAGTACAATGGCGGAATTGCCGGAGGTTCAGGCAAGATTCAGAGGAGGCTATGACACAAGGAATGCCATTGCTGATGTCAGATGGATCTTGGATCAAAACCCAGAAAACCAGAAAGATGCTTGCTTGTGCTTTCTTGACCATGCCAAAGTATATGACGATGTGGACCATAACAAATTATGGATGACATTGAGAAGAACAGGAATTCCTGAACATCTGATTGTGCTTATGAGGAGCTTGTACACGGATCAAGAGGCATTTGTGTTAACAAAACAGGAGAATCCTGCATGGTTTAAAAACAGGAAAGAGGTCTCATAGGGTTATCTTCTCAGCATACTTATTCAATCTGTATACTGAGCTGGCTTTTATGAAAAGAATGTGGCATCAGGATTGGAATAAGGCTTATTAACAACACTCAACATGAAGGTGACATACTCTTGCTTGCTTGAAAGCAAGGGGGAATTGAAGCACTTGCTGATGAAGATCAAGGATTGCACCCTTCAATGTAGATTACTACTCAATCTAAAGACCAAAATCCTCACAACTGGATCAATATATATTATCAATCATGGTAAATGGGAAAAGGATGAAATTGTCAAAGGTTTTGTCTTGCTTGGATCCACAATCAATGCTCATGGAGGCAACAGTCAAGAGATCAAAAGAAGAGTTGTAAATCTGCTGCACAAGAGCTCTTTAGAGTATTGAAGAATAGGATGTTACTTTGAGGTCTAAGGTGTGTCTGACCCAATCCATGGTATTTTCTATTGTCTCATATGCATGTGAAAGTCAGACACTGAATAAGGAAGACCCAAGAA